GTAACTTAATCACATGCATATGGGTAGTTGACAACGTGTCCATGGATCTTTTGAATCAGTGTCATAATTTTATAAAGGAAAGTGTAGATGTGGGTCACCATTTCATTAAAAAAAATAACTTTTTAATCACATTTTTGCCTCTATTAGTTCATGTTAAATGGTTAAATAATTGAAACAGTCTGTCAGTAATATGAGCTCACAAAAACAGCATGCATAATAATTACAACAGAAAAAAGCAGTTAAACACAGTTGGGAAAGTGTAGCATGTCACACCACAGGACATTAACTTTCCTGTAGTGTTTCATGTCAATAACCCATTCACATATTTCCCAGGATTTCTACCATGCCCTTTTACCACTTCCAACCTACAGTGCTTTTATTGTTTTATTTATTTATTTTTTTTTGGAAAGGCAAAGGTATTCATATGCACTGTGAGTTTTTCAGAAAGTGTTGGAAAAAACATATCACACATGCTGATGGTTGCTTGTTGAGCTCTTTGAGGTCCAGCAAATGAGGCTATTAAGAATTCAAAGCAGTTTCTGATACAATGAAGCCGCTGGAGCTTTGAAGGATAAAAGCAGCGATGTCCTCCTCACTGCCACAGAGTTAACTGCACTGATATTTGCTCAGAGAGACAAAAAAGTCTGAAATGCTCCTGTGAGGCTCTCTGTCTGCTCTGCAAGTCTCAATGTCATTACAAAAAGTCATTTATATAACACTTTAAAAGGACAGCAAATGAGATTGCAAATTGGATCCTTTTGAAAATAACTAGCTGGTATTTTTTTCTATGAAAGATTCAAAAGAAATACAGAAAGCACAAACTGAAATTCTCATGTATGAAATGAAATCATTGATCTTAAAAAGGATAGTTTTATGAATACAGCACTCGTATGTTTGCCGGAAACAATGGTTTGATGTTAAAAACATCCTAATGATAGATTTGTTTATTACAAACATGCAGATTTTCACTTTTCACAAGATGTTAATTGATGGACTGGAGTCGTGTAGATTACTTGTGGATTACTGTGATGTTTTTATCAGCTCTTGTTCTGACGGCACCCATTCACTGTAGAGTGTCCATTGGTGATGTAATGCTAAATTTCTCCAAATCTGTTCAGATTAAGAAACAAACTCATCATCTTGGATAGCCTGAGGGTGAGTAAATTTTCACATTTTCATTTTTGGATGAACTATTATTTTTTTTTAATTTTACAGGGTCAACAATGTAACAGTGTCTGCTTACTTGTGTTTAACTGCAGCATGAGTGCTGATCACAACATGAGCTCCCTTGCTTTTGTTGGTAAAGTCCCTCTTTTTGACTCTAATTTAACCTGACATCAGGAGCTTCTTACACAACCCTGCTCTCAATCACAATTATTAATGACCAGCAGAGAGTCAGGAGCTGTCAACGTGTGCTGTTTGGAAATGTGCATGCAAGCAGCATTAAAACTTCCCCAGAATCACTACCTCTGAGTCTTTCCAAATCAAGTAACGGGTAACACTGAATAATTCAAAGAAGAAGAAAAAAAAGCAGAGATTTCCACATTTGAAACATGTTTAAGGCATGCGCAAATGCTCAAAGTTTAAATCTCACAGTTGTCTGAGTTGGTTTTTAAAATGCCAGCCATCATTATTCTTTTTAAATCATGGTTCCTGAAGATCAGAACAGCACAGGCTGTGGTGATAGACTATGCGAACCCAAGACTCGCTCTCACCTTTCATTTTCAACTTCTCGCGTCACTTAATTCACAGCCTCCTCTCACACCCAGTTACACAAACAAGACAGGTATCTCTCAACTGCAAACATACACACACCAAAACACTTGATCAGAAGGAGCAGCCAAAAAAAGGAAATCACCCAAAGCATCCTAGACAGCTCATTATAGAGTCTGAGTAGGTCTTCATGAAACACAAAACTTAAAGCTTGCACAATTTTGAGGTAATAGTGAAATAAATAAATAAATAAACAAACATGTTCAATGAGGTTAGAACACCCCAAGCCTTTTTCAATAAGGTTAATTTCTTTATTTTATTTATAATTTATTGTGCATGGGGCTCAGTTTAGTGTTGTAATTATTGGTTCAAGAAACAAACTGTGCTGTAAACATTTTTAGTCAATAAAAATCATCACAAATGAAAATGTATAGGGCTGTAAAAAAAAATGTACCACTTTAAAATAATAAGCACACTCCAACTCTATTCAAAGCCACATGCAAAAGCACATTCCCTCACAATAAGAACATCCCAGCAGATGTGAAGCAAAACAAGACTTAATAAAACAAGAAACAAAACAAAACAAGTTTTATAAAAATGATCAACCAATCAGTTTTGTCTGTGTTGCTCTACACATCAATAAGAGTGAGTTTTATGATTAATGTGCAATCTAAAAACATACTAAATCGAATACATTTCTGGACTTTGACTCAATCCATGTATGGAAACTCGGATACATCTTTCTAAATCATACAAAAAGACAAATCCCAAAACAGATGGAGCGCATCATTGCTCAATTAATTTAGCTAAACACCTGTACACTTAATTCATTTCCACTGACTGGACGATTCTCAACTTAGAAGTTCTCCAATTCTCTAAATCTATACTATAATGTAGGTATTTACAGTTAATTGTAAACTACATTCAGTTTGCAATTAAAAGAATAGCAATTCAGTTTGTAATTAAAAGAAAATGTACTCAGCCTCAGGTTATCCAAGATGCAGATGAATTTGTGTTTTCATCTGAGAAGATTTGGAGAAATTTAGCGAGAAAAAAAAAAAAAGAAGCCATTAGTATTTTCACCAACAAAAATTGGTGTGATCACCCTTTGTGTTTAAAACAGCTTTTGTCCTTGGTACACTTGCACATTGTTTTTCAGGTAGCTTTGTATGTATGTTTCTTCAAATGTCTTGGAGACGTTGCCACATTTTGATTGTATGGAAAAGAGCAGCTTGGATCTTCTTTTGTGTTTGATGGTAGAAAGTCATACAAGTTGGGAATGAGGATGAATAAACAATGACAGAATCTTAATTTATAGATGGACTATGTCTTTAATAGCACACAGATGTGACATGATGTGTTCCTCTCCTTCCTTTCCTCTGTCCCACTGTGAGTATGATGTAAGTAAGGATTTGTGGTTATTATCTGACCAATGAACACACATTTTGGATATGTTTTGCCCCCACATCCATTCCCGCTAATTTTCTCCTCCAAAAAGACAGATCCAACTGAGCCTGGTAATGGTAGATTGCTGGTCTAAAATAGTTCATAATTTGAAGTTTTTTATTTCCCACAGAGCCAAACAATTTTCTCTGTCTTCCTCCGCTCACTGCTGGATGTAATAAGATGCTGGCATAGCGTGTTGGCATGAGTTCCTCATTTCCTTATTTTAAAGTATGCGAACAATGGCACATCGAGTTATTCAGCTGCACTCTTATTATTAACAATGCCATGCAAACAGAAGAGCGTGAATATAAAACTCAAGCACCCCACCATTAAGTTCATTATGGACGTCAACATCGTTTAAATTCAAGCAGGTATACTTACAGCCACTGTCCTCGGTTCTTCTAAAACACTACAGGAGAAAGCTGGCCCTCCCCAGGGGACTGATGCCAGGGACGGCATGCATAAGTAATGCCCTGTTTTCTGAATCTCCACACAGAACAATTACTCTCTCCAGGAGAGTTTTGTGTCATTAAAATTGAAATGTGTTTATTTTGAAAAACATTCAAATTCATCTTCCCTCTTGCCACTTAAACTGTCAGGTATAATTTTATGGGCACTGCAGAGCAAAAAGGTGAAAACATACCCACACTCCTCATGGTTAAATAACGATACAGAGAGGCACCTCAATAATGAATGTTTATTCATTAACACTTGAAAAAATCTCAGTTTTACATTTGGAATGTAAACCAAATTAATTCCGTGAATTGTCATGCGTCTTAATGAGCCTCGTGATAAATCATTCAAAACAGTCAGCGGCGACCCTGGTGTGAATTAATAACAGACTGGAACCTGCAGTGATCCCCAACATGTGTTTGTGTTAGCAAACTAATACATAATTTCATTTTTTAGTCATAATTTGAAGCTGAGCCCCCTATGTCCCCAAACCTGGAAAAAAAGGAATCAAAATTTTAATAAACTCTAATATGATAATGACCTACAACTCAGGAGCACATGGGCTCCAGCGTAGTCTGGTTCTTCATCTGTCTTTCCTCACACATCCAGATAAACACACACACTCTCACACTCCTCTGTTCTATTTCCATATCAAACAGGGCTTGTTTTGCTCCAAACTTTCATGTTTACTTGCCTCCACTTGCAGGTGGTGTGTTAAATCAGTCCGATGAAAATGAAGAGACAGGCAGTGTGTTTGTATGTGTGCGTGTTGGTAGGAGCTGTATCTTAATATTTGTCTAAATCAGAACCCCAGAAGAAGTTTTGCTGTGCAAAAACAACATCAGAGTTAACTTGGTTACAATTTGGGGAACAACAGATTTTCGCATTATGATGCAACATGGTTTAATCAATAAAAACAAAACATACCTGTGGTTTCCAAAGATATTTAAAGCCATAGTTCTCTCAAAAATCAACATTTTCCCACTCTTGTGTCCTTCAACACCTATGACTTTTTCTTCTTCTGTGAAGCACAAAAGATGATATTCTGGAAAATATACTATATTACTGTTCAAAAGTTTGGGGTAAGTAGCACTGCTTTTGAAAAAAGGCTTATGCTCACCCAAAAATACAACTGTAAAAACATTATTATTGTGAAATATTATTACAATTTATAATAACTGTTTTCTATCTGGATATATATTAAAGTGTAATTTATTCCTGTGATGCAAAGCTAAATTCTCCTTTAGTGTCACATGATCCTTCAGAAATCATTCTAATATGCTGACTTGCTGCTCAAGAAACATTTCTTATTATTTTCAATGTTAAAAACAGTTGCTGCTTAATATTTTTGTGCAAACTGTGATACTTTTTTCAGAATTCTGGACAAATAAAGTAAAAAAAAAAATATTTAGAAATATTTTGTGACGTCAAAGCCTTGCATCGTTTTAACTCTTTTCACAGTCTTAGTTCACAGTTTGCATGTTTCTGCTCGAGCGTGCATTTTTGTTGACATTTGCAGGTCTGATTTTAAAATATGCTCGCGTGAAATTATGAGTTGTCATCACATGTCCACAGAAGTGTTGCTTTACCGCGTGACCTAAGCGGGGAAGAAGAGCAGAGATGCACTTTAGATGATATTCCATATGACAGGTAGAGTTAGCAATGAATAAATAGATGAAAAGTGATGCATTTACAGTCCAAACAAGCATCACTGCTGGGACATTCAGCCAAAAACATCTGGTGATGAAGCTCTGACATACGTGTGGTCTCTGTCAGACCACTAACTATATTTCTAAGAGTGGACTCTCTCCATAGACCAGGCCTTACAACTCACCTTGGTAGTTTTGATTTTGTTACCAGAGCTGCAGGACCAGCCGGTGAGGTCAGGCAACACATTACACTCTTCACCATTTAAGCATGGCTCCATTTGACACCACCACTTCATCCGCACGATAGACGCTGAAAGAGAATGAAAAAGAAAAGTGAAAGACAGGAACAACATAGTGCCATCAAGAAATTATATATATAAATTTATTTATTTATTTATTTTTTTAACAAAGGAAAGAACCAAAGACACACACAAAAATGTACATGAATAATATATGCAGTAAAAACAGAAATATAGTCAAATATTACTACTAATTTAAAATAACTTTTTTATTATTTTAATAAATTTTCAAATGTAATTTATTCCTGTGATGCAAAGCAGAATTTTCAGCATCTTCAATGTCACATGATCCTTCAGAATTGGTGCTCTAGCAACATTGCATATTATTATCAATGCTGAAAACACTTGTGCTGCTTAATATTTTGAGAAAAAAAACATTATACATTTTTTAGGATACTTTAAATACCAAGGAATGTTGTGATTGGTTGTCAAGGCAGCCAATCAGAATTTAGCAGCCTCGACTCTGATTGGCTGGAATTATGGCATATTGCAACGCTGGGTTGTGTTGAGAAAGCCAGCCGTTGGCATTTAGAGAGCACTGAGGGCAGGCATCAGGTGAGCAAGCTAGTGAAACATTGCAAGCGCAAAAGAGAAGGTCTGCACACATCCAAAAACTTATTTTAAATGCAAAATTGATTTAAGTGCGCTCAAAATACTTTTTTCTTTGCAAAATGAAAATTTTCGCCACAAAACTCAGATCGTGCGCATGCAAAATGCACTTTTGTGCGTTCAAAAGATGAACTTTTGCGCGCAAAATTGTGGCAGATATCTAACCCTATAGTCAAGCCCCTTACCATAGCCATACGCGAGCTTCAGTGTAAATATTGCGTCAATATAAAATCAATTTGAGCATGATTTTTTCCCCCTTGGGAAAGCTAGCATGTCTCCGACATAGTGATAACACTCGTTGCCTTCTCTAATGCAACTCAACCAAGTCTCGTCCCATTCGTCGATATTTGTGATATCGCAAATCCCGGAAAATATGCACTGTAGTCCAAACGAGTCGTTCGTTTTAGTTTTTGAAAATTGATTTGTTAAATAAAATATCTCCTTTTGAAGTGGACTTTGAGCTTTGTAACTTTGCAGATCTTTTTTATGCTCAAACAGCAACATTACAGACTAACTAAAATTGAAAAAGTGAAAAAGCATAATAGGACCCCTTTAAAATAAATAACAGCACCAATGACTAACCTTATCATTCTACTTAATATATTGCTAATTACAAAGTGAATAAATACAACAATGATATAAAATACTGATTTAGTTTAAATTATTTACTTATGTGAAAAGAAAGAGAAAGCAGAGTGATACAAGAGACATAAAACTAGCATGCTGTTTGCCAGAGACAACAGTCTAGACTCTAGAGTTTAGCAGTAATTATATGTGACTCTGGACCACAAAACCAGTCTTAAGTCACGGGGGTATATTTGTAGCAATAGCCAAAAACACATTGTATGGATAAAAATTATTGATTTTTCTTTTATGCCAAAAATCATGTTCATGTTTGTATCAATCAATCATGTTTGTAAATTTCCTACTGTAAATATATTAAAACTTCATTTTTGATTAGTAATATGCATTGCTAAGAACTTCATTTGGACAACTTTAAAGGCGATTTTCTCAATATTTTGATTTTTTTTGCACCTTCAAATTCCAGATTTTCCATTGATTTATTCAGCTTTCCGAAGATGTATAAATCTCAATTTCGAAAAATGTACCCTTATTGGTTTTGGACTGGTTTTGTGGTCCAGGGTCACATATAAACAACGTTTTGCATACGTTTTCCACAACAGATCAATCAGAATCTATATATAGATACTACATTGGATTAAAAACACACTGTGAAATACTGAGTTCTGTTAAATTTTCTAAAGTTTTCACCTCCTCAGAGGCATACAAAAAATGACCATATCATCACACCCACATAAACTCACTGCCCACCTCTCAGATGCACATAAACCCACACTCAAGCCCACACAGAAAGAAGAACATGCATGCTAAATTACACAAAAAGGCACGAGCGATGGCTGATTAATGCTCCATGCTGACAAAACCGCATGACAGAACAGCATATGTTGGATTTTGGACGCAGTCACAGCATGGGTCCCTTAACTACCACTGTTTGAAGAATTTATCTTCCAGAATCTGGCAATAAGTTTTGGGAGTTCCTTTTTAGTCCATCTCGAGATTTTATCTGTAGAAGATAACCTGCTTAATAATTATGCACACATGAATATAAGGCGTTTTTCACTTCCAGCCTTCATGAACAATAATATATAGGTTATAAGTGATTAAAAACAAGTTTAATAGTAGTTATTAAGATTGATGTTGTTTGGAATTGGTAAAATGTGCTTGGAAAAAAATATAATCAGAATATCAACTTGCATAATTATGCATGCACTGTATTTTTCCTCTTCGAGGTAATGCAAGGAATGTTGTGATTGGTTGTCAAGGCAGCCAATCAGAATTTAGCAGCCTCGACTCTGATTGGCTGGAATTATGGCATATTGCAACGCTGGGTTGTGTTGAGAAAGCCAGCCGTTGGCATTTAGAGAGCACTGAGGGCAGGCATCAGGTGAGCAAGCTAGTGAAACATTGCAAGCGCAAAAGAGAAGGTCTGCACACATCCAAAAACTTATTTTAAATGCAAAATTGATTTAAGTGCGCTCAAAATACTTTTTTCTTTGCAAAATGAAAATTTTCGCCACAAAACTCAGATCGTGCGCATGCAAAATGCACTTTTGTGCGTTCAAAAGATGAACTTTTGCGCGCAAAATTGTGGCAGATATCTAACCCTATAGTCAAGCCCCTTACCATAGCCATACGCGAGCTTCAGTGTAAATATTGCGTCAATATAAAATCAATTTGAGCATGATTTTTTTCCCCCTTGGGAAAGCTAGCATGTCTCCGACATAGTGATAACACTCGTTGCCTTCTCTAATGCAACTCAACCAAGTCTCGTCCCATTCGTCGATATTTGTGATATCGCAAATCCCGGAAAATATGCACTGTAGTCCAAACGAGTCGTTCGTTTTAGTTTTTGAAAATTGATTTGTTAAATAAAATATTTCCTTTTGAAGTGGACTTTGAGCTTTGTAACTTTGCAGATCTTTTTTATGCTCAAACAGCAACATTACAGACTAACTAAAATTGAAAAAGTGAAAAAGCATAATAGGACCCCTTTAAAATAAATAACAGCACCAATGACTAACCTTATCATTCTACTTAATATATTGCTAATTACAAAGTGAATAAATACAACAATGATATAAAATACTGATTTAGTTTAAATTATTTACTTATGTGAAAAGAAAGAGAAAGCAGAGTGATACAAGAGACATAAAACTAGCATGCTGTTTGCCAGAGACAACAGTCTAGACTCTAGAGTTTAGCAGTAATTATATGTGACTCTGGACCACAAAACCAGTCTTAAGTCACGGGGGTATATTTGTAGCAATAGCCAAAAACACATTGTATGGATAAAAATTATTGTTCATGTTTGTATCAATCAATCATGTTTGTAAATTTCCTACTGTAAATATATTAAAACTTCATTTTTGATTAGTAATATGCATTGCTAAGAACTTCATTTGGACAACTTTAAAGGCGATTTTCTCAATATTTTGATTTTTTTTGCACCTTCAAATTCCAGATTTTCCATTGATTTATTCAGCTTTCCGAAGATGTATAAATCTCAATTTCGAAAAATGTACCCTTATTGGTTTTGGACTGGTTTTGTGGTCCAGGGTCACATATAAACAACGTTTTGCATACGTTTTCCACAACAGATCAATCAGAATCTAGTATTCCAGAGATCAGTGTACAAAGAATGTATAAAATCACAAATAACTACATTGGATTAAAAACACACTGTGAAATACTGAGTTCTGTTACATTTTCTAAAGTTTTCACCTCCTCAGAGGCATACAAAAAATGACCATATCATCACACCCACATAAACTCACTGCCCACCTCTCAGATGCACATAAACCCACACTCAAGCCCACACAGAAAGAAGAACATGCATGCTAAATTACACAAAAAGGCACGAGCGATGGCTGATTAATGCTCCATGCTGACAAAACCGCATGACAGAACAGCATATGTTGGATTTTGGACGCAGTCACAGCATGGGTCCCTTAACGAGGGCAGGCATCAGGTGAGCAAGCTAGTGAAACATTGCAAGCGCAAAAGAGAAGGTCTGCACACATCCAAAAACTTATTTTAAATGCAAAATTGATTTAAGTGCGCTCAAAATACTTTTTTCTTTGCAAAATGAAAATTTTCGCCACAAAACTCAGATCGTGCGCATGCAAAATGCACTTTTGTGCGTTCAAAAGATGAACTTTTGCGCGCAAAATTGTGGCAGATATCTAACCCTATAGTCAAGCCCCTTACCATAGCCATACGCGAGCTTCAGTGTAAATATTGCGTCAATATAAAATCAATTTGAGCATGATTTTTTTCCCCCTTGGGAAAGCTAGCATGTCTCCGACATAGTGATAACACTCGTTGCCTTCTCTAATGCAACTCAACCAAGTCTCGTCCCATTCGTCGATATTTGTGATATCGCAAATCCCGGAAAATATGCACTGTAGTCCAAACGAGTCGTTCGTTTTAGTTTTTGAAAATTGATTTGTTAAATAAAATATTTCCTTTTGAAGTGGACTTTGAGCTTTGTAACTTTGCAGATCTTTTTTATGCTCAAACAGCAACATTACAGACTAACTAAAATTGAAAAAGTGAAAAAGCATAATAGGACCCCTTTAAAATAAATAACAGCACCAATGACTAACCTTATCATTCTACTTAATATATTGCTAATTACAAAGTGAATAAATACAACAATGATATAAAATACTGATTTAGTTTAAATTATTTACTTATGTGAAAAGAAAGAGAAAGCAGAGTGATACAAGAGACATAAAACTAGCATGCTGTTTGCCAGAGACAACAGTCTAGACTCTAGAGTTTAGCAGTAATTATATGTGACTCTGGACCACAAAACCAGTCTTAAGTCACGGGGGTATATTTGTAGCAATAGCCAAAAACACATTGTATGGATAAAAATTATTGTTCATGTTTGTATCAATCAATCATGTTTGTAAATTTCCTACTGTAAATATATTAAAACTTCATTTTTGATTAGTAATATGCATTGCTAAGAACTTCATTTGGACAACTTTAAAGGCGATTTTCTCAATATTTTGATTTTTTTTGCACCTTCAAATTCCAGATTTTCCATTGATTTATTCAGCTTTCCGAAGATGTATAAATCTCAATTTCGAAAAATGTACCCTTATTGGTTTTGGACTGGTTTTGTGGTCCAGGGTCACATATAAACAACGTTTTGCATACGTTTTCCACAACAGATCAATCAGAATCTAGTATTCCAGAGATCAGTGTACAAAGAATGTATAAAATCACAAATAACTACATTGGATTAAAAACACACTGTGAAATACTGAGTTCTGTTACATTTTCTAAAGTTTTCACCTCCTCAGAGGCATACAAAAAATGACCATATCATCACACCCACATAAACTCACTGCCCACCTCTCAGATGCACATAAACCCACACTCAAGCCCACACAGAAAGAAGAACATGCATGCTAAATTACACAAAAAGGCACGAGCGATGGCTGATTAATGCTCCATGCTGACAAAACCGCATGACAGAACAGCATATGTTGGATTTTGGACGCAGTCACAGCATGGGTCCCTTAACCTGCAAAATTTGTGCTGGTCATTCAGCTTCGTCATAAAGACAGTGCTGGTCTGAAAAATAATGCTAGTTTTTTTAGCAGGATATTCAGGGACAGATCCATACACAGTCAGCAGCTTCTTTTGTAAAAAGGTAATATCCTGCTTAACACAATACATGTGCACCCCGGGCACAAGAATATAGTAATGCTATTGAAGATATGAGAAAATGTATGAAAGTGAATGTTGTATTACATATGAATTTTTCTTTCAAAACTTTTTTCTTGACATTTTATCTAAGAATGAATTATAAAGACTTTGAATCGAATTCTGCATGATCGTTTTCCCAATCTAAATCCAAGTACTAGACAATCATCACTGATAGCACAAGTGAATGCAAGCTCAAGTGGCCTGTGTGCAAAAAACGGCATTATATATATATAGGGTATATTAATGAGGAATATTATTTATATGAATTAATTTTATTAATAAACAATACCATAATCAGTCATCTGCCAATTTTGGACATTTACAGATATACTGATATTCCATTGTAAAAGCTCATCAGCTAATAGCTACTTAAAGTTAATCTTTAAAAACAGTAATAATTTAACAACATTGTTAAAAGCAATCTTTAGCAAAACTCAAATATCAATTTTTCATACTTTACATTATAATGTTAGGATGTCTAAATTTATGTGGCATTTAAAATGACTGAGTGATGTGAATTTTTAGTTTTATATTTCATTTATATTTATTTAGACAAAATACTATAGAATTTTAATATCGACCATTTATTGGTTAATTAATTAGTTAATTCGTTTATTGTATCAACCAGAATATAGATACCTCCAGCAAGAAACACAGCCTGTGGCATTAAATCCCAAAAAATATCTGTGGATTGAAAAGTCTGCAAACTGGCAGAGCAGGATTAGATTCACACCTCGAAGCCTGGGCTAAATTTAAGTAGAGTGACAGCTTGAGAAAGCCACTGGTTTTTTGTTGCTGGAGTTTTAATCAAATGGAGCCCTGAAGTCTAACCCGTTTCTGAAACTAAAATAGAGCCAACAGGAGTTTGCAAACCATCAAATGCAGCCAGTTTTATTAATATTAACTAAAACTGGACCTGAAACTAAACACATAAAAAATAATTACTTGAAATTTAATAAAACATTTAATAAAACCTGTATAGACATATTTAAAGAAAAAAATAGAATAAAAAATTGTTACCAAAACTTTAAATAAAACAGAAAATACATAAACAAAATTCTAATTCAAAATATTAACAAAAACTAGAACAGAATGTCAATGATACTAAAATACCACTGACTGCAGCGTATGCTGTCATACAAGTATTTGTTTGTTTGTTTTGACCAATATGACAGTTATGGACTGTACTGATACCTATTGGTGTAGAAGCAGCATCACAAAAATGTATATAAAAAGCTGTGACCGTGGACAGTGGGCATACCATCAACACATGAAGGTTGGGCATGGGTGGTCCCAGCAACATGTCCAGGGAGACATGAGCACTTGACCGTCTGAGATCTCTCCTCTATTTTATTCTTATTACAGCAACGATGAGCTGCCACCACTTCACAGGTTCCCGGCTTAACTTCAGACCGACCTTAGATTGACAGAAAGACAGTTCGAGACATTTCATGCAGAATGTTTGTCATATTGTGTGCTCACACATCTTGACATTTAAAATTGTGAAAAAGGCACAGGCAGCATTATTTCTAGTATTCTGGCGCCCTCACATGGACATACACAACACTACAATAAGCATATGCTGCTGAGCTCAAATTTAGTGACGTCACAAAAGAAGCAGAGGAAAACCATTTTAAATAACCAAAATTCAACATTTTTGCAAGTACCGTTTCTGAACTTTGGTTGATTTGACACAGAGTGATGGAGTATATATAAATACATATTATTTGACTTTTTAAGTATGTAAATAAACACTTTCAATCTACCAAACACCTCATGGCCAAATGACTGAATGAGTTATAATGGGTGGCAAATGGTTCTTTAGCTGTTATTAGCAGTGGTCTGATGTGCTCCCAGAGGGGCCATATAACGGTGTGTCCAGTGTGTTTAATTAGACCCGAGGGGAAAGACAAAAAGGGAGAGAGAGAGAAAGAGAGAGATATGTTGCAGTAGCTTAGCTCACCGGTTTGGCCTCGAGAGCTTTGGTTGCTGCTGGACACTGACTGTGAGCACAGGAGCCACACACACACAAGCAGAAGAGCCCCTGGTTTCCACTTTACTTTATTCCTGTAGATAAGCTCCACACAGATTTCTCTTGTGCAAGACATGCTTGCATTTTCCTATAAGGAAAAAACAGTCTATTTTGTCTTGATCATTATTTTAATACTTTTTAAATAACGCATGCATCATGTGTAATTACAAAAGCCTATTTCTGTAGCATATTTAAAAATAACAGATTACTTCCAAAGCTTGCAGCTAAAAATACTAAGGGATATTAATATTATGACACATCATACATTCAATACATCTTACTAACCATAGTAATTGCTCTGCCTCAAACTGGTAGATCTTAATTAAGAGGATACCTGGATTTAGTATGACACTTCACTTAATGTTCTGCCATCTGCGAGCCATCAAACGCAAAAGAGTGTCTCAGTTTTCAGTTGCATCCTCCTTGTTATCATCTTTATCATTTGCAAGGCCTAGAAAGAAACCAAAAAAAAAAAAAAGTGAGGGAAATAAAATACTGTTAGCGATTAGTGTCAGTATTAGTGTCAAGTCCCCAGGGTTAATCTGATCTTTCATCTGATCTGCAACCCTGCCTTGACTAGTGAGCACAGCTCTCATCTGACTGTTATTGGCAGAGTGTCTTTAAACACAAGCTTTTATATAGTACCTGACCTGACTATGGAAAACATAAACATAGACCAAAATATGATGTTAATTAGAAAGCAGAGATTTAAGGCTAGAATAATCAGGATTTGTTTTAATTCAGTTTTAAATTCCCCCTTTTCACCATGAGGAGTGAATAATTAAAAGTAATAGGCTTACAATTTATTTGTTGATGAGGTAGCCTATTGTAAAATTAAAGTCAAAAACATTTCAGAGGTTAAGGGAGAAACGTTATTATTAACGAATGCAAACCAATAATGAAAACAACTTATAAAATCTGCTACTCAAATTACTGGTATACTAATTTTCAGACACTTCCTGACTCCCAAAAGAATGACAATTGTGATAAATTGCGACAATATTAGCTGATTCGTGTCAAGAGTGTGTTGTTTTCGAGTATTTATCTTCACTGATTTTTATATGACGAAAAATGCAAAAGATTAAACATGCTCCAACTAATGCGATACCTGCCTGCAGTTTTCATTTGCTAGATAACTTTTGATGCGCACGCCGCGTTTACGTTATTCATAATTTATTTTCATGTACACAAAGTCTATGAGCATAATTTTGTAAACGAATAGAAAATACAAATGATTCAACCTGCTCCTTTTAAAAATTAAAGTTTAGAGTTGGCTTACCTGGATTTCTTCAGGAAAACATGTGTCCCTCCCTCCGCTTCATGTACTACTACAGCACTGCTGACTGGAAAACGCTTCCTGCATGCGTCAGTATCAAACTTAATCAAGAGACCATCTGTTCATTCTGATCTTCTCTATTACTACTCTAAAGGCGATTAGTTGTGTTAGTAACGTGGTAGACAGGGATATTTAATAACACGAGCTCATGACAGGAAGAAACTACCATACTAACATTTCCATATAGGGTCTATAATAACAATACATGTGATTTAACATAAGTCCAATTAAAAGAACATTTTAGATTTATTATAAATATAAATTATAAAAAAAATACCTGTTTATTTTGGAGTACATGTAAAAAGCTTAACATTTAAGTGCAGAATTTTGGCTTCTGCTAAATTTAAAATTTTATACATGCAACTTGTCTGGACAACCAAAAACTAAAGACTGTGTTCAGACTTAATCAAGAAAAAAAAAAAAAAGAGTCACTAACTGATTGAAGCTTTATTTGTGTCAGCAACATCAGCATCTGTCACGTCTGTGTCTTCATAATCAAACTTGCCATCTTCTCTCACCATCTCCAGTGCCCTTCACATGCCCCATTGTCTTTCAGTGACCCTCACTGGACTCAATGTCTTGGTGGTGAGTGGTGACCCTCACTAGCACCAGTGCTGTGTTGTGTGATGATCCTCACCGGCCCCAGTGTCTTTGCAGTGACCCTCAGTTGCCCCAATGTCCTGCTGTGACCCTCCCAGTGCCTTTGTGGTGACCCTCACCTGCCCCAGTGCCTTACAGGTGACCCTCACTGACCCCACTGACTTGCGGTGACCCTCACCAACACCAATGTCTTGCAGTGACCCTAACTTGGCACCATTATCTTGTGGTAATCCTCACCGGACCCAGTGTCTACCAGGTGACCTTCACCTGCCTCTGTGTCTCCAGAATTTTGCAGTGACCCTCGCTGGCCCCACTGTTTTGCACTGATCCTTTCTTGGCTCCAATGCTTGTGGTGACCCTCACCAGCCCTAGTGTTTTGCTTTAACCCTTGCCAGCCCAGCACTACTGTTTAATGCTTAATTGGCCCTAATTTCTTGCAGTGACCCTTACCAACCCCTGTGTTTTACAGTGACCCTTACTTGGCCCCAATATCTTGTGGTGACCCTCACCAGTCCCAGTGTCTTGCGGTGACCCTCGCTGACCCCAGGGTTTTGCGATGACTTTCACCAACCCTATTGTCTAATGGTGACCCTCACTGCCCCATTGCCTTCTGGGTGATCCTCATCAGCCCCAGTGTCTTCCAGTGACCCTCACCGGCCTCATTATCTTGCAGTGACCCTCACTGGCCCCAGTGTTTTGCAGTTACCCTCATTTGGCCCCAGTGTCTTCTGGTGACCCTCACCAACCCTACTGTCTTACGGTGACCCTCACCGGCCCGTGTCTTCTGGTGGCCCTCACCGACCCAGTGTCTTCTGGTGGCCCTCACTGGCCCCAGTGTCTTCTCGTAACCCTCACCGACCCCAGTGTCTTCCAGTGACCCTCACCGACCCCAGTGTCTTCTGATGGCCCTTCCCGGCCCCACTGTCTAGCAGTGGCCCCAGTGTTTTGTGGTGACCCTCACAAGCTATAGTGTCTTTTATTCTCCTATATCTGGGTCTCCAGAGTCTTCTCCACTCTCTATGTCACTGCTATGTGGTGAAGGAATGAAAAAGAAAGAAAGCAGTTTGTTCACTTAACACATTCACCCATATAATTTTAATGTTAACTTACTCTCATCTAGTCTTATTTATAGTAATTTCTTAAAGGGATCATATGATGTTGCTAAAAAGAACATTATTTTGTGTATTTGGTGTAATGAAATGTGTTTATGAAGTGAAGTGAAGTGAAGTGACATGTGGCCAAGTATGGTGACCCATACTCGGAATTAGTGCTCTGCATTTACCCATCCAAAGTGCACACACACAGCAGTGAACACACACAAACCGTGAACACATACCCGGAGCAGTGGGCAGCCATTTATGCTGCGGCGCCCAGGGAGCAGTTGTGGATTCGGTGCCTTGCTCAAGGGCACCTTGTCGTGCTATTGAAGGTGGGAGAGAGCGCTGTACATTCATTTATGCGGTTTAAGGTTAAAAAAATTGTTTTCCACATACTGTACATTATTGTTTCTCCTCTATGCCCCGCCTTTCTGAAATGCGTAGATTTTTACAAAGCTCATCGGTCTGAAAAGCGAGGTGTGCTCTGATTGGCCAGCTATCCAGTGTGTTGTGATTGGCCCGAATACCTCAAGCGTGTGACGGAAATGTTACGCCCCTTACCATACTGTGATGCCCTGTCCGGCCGGAGCGACGAGACAAAAACATTAAAACCCATTATAAACGAGGCATTTGTTGCATCCAGTGGGGACATAATTACTGATTATAATGACTTATACTGTCTTTTTGTGCGCCGTGTAAACATAAAACCATGTCTGCATTTGTGATCGGAGAAATGACAAACAACAAGTGCTACTCTACACTGCTCAAAAGTCGCGTTTGAATAGTCAGGGGCAAATTCTTTAATATAAAAAACTTACTTACAGTCTGTGAGTCAGAACAGGCGGCATTGTAGTCTACTCTACCAGGATCAGGAAAAAGTCCTCCATAAAATGTGCTGCACACATCTGAATATTTGGGTTGAACTGTTCTGGAACAGTGTTGTAAATACAACTTAACCACTGATTTCTAGTTGTGTCCTCTTTTGGAAGGCCAAACACAGTAGTTTCACTTTCAGGCCGGCGGCCTAGAGTGAGCGGAGGCCGGCGGCTTAGAGTGAGCGGCGGCGGGCTTGAGAACGGCGTGGCCGGCGGATTCGACGAAGGAGCGTCCAGCGGGCTTGCGGCAACCACATGTGACGACCCCGGGCTAGACTCCGCTTTGTCCACGGTGAAAGCTGATCCGGCGATACACAGCGTGAAGTTGATGTATTTCCTCAGCGACCAGCACGGATCAGCTCCAGGCATGACGAAGCGATATCGTCCTCTTTTGGAAGGCCAAACAAAGTAGTTTTTCTTTCACAACGAAACACACAGCGCCTTCACGACATGGCGGCAGCAACAATACTACAGTGAGAATAAAAGTTATGCCTTCTTTCTTTGCGTGAACATTTGGACGGCGTTATGCAAATCTTCCACATCGTGACATACACATGTGGGGGCTTATTAGAACGAGCCGTTTTAGGTAGGCGTGGTTGACTCTTAACTTTTATAAAGAATATCTCTTTGGATTTGAGACTTTAGTCTTTGCAACTTTACAGATCTTCTTTATGCACCAAGAGCTTGTAACACTCCAAAGAGAAAGGAAAAATTGAAATCGCATCATATGACCCCTTTAACTTCCTATGAACACATGCACAGGACAACCAGATCAGTCTCTTTCTCTCTCTTTTTCATAATCGAACATAAAAATGTTGTCTGCTGTGATCCTACTGTGTACCTGTAAGTGCATGAGCACAACTTTCTCCAAAAACCTCTTAATCGTTTTCTCAATCGCCCAAGTCGTCCAATTTTGGGAAGCTTTAATCTGGAACATACATACACAAAACAAGCATGAATGTTGACTGACAAGCACGCAACAATGAATGAATTAAAATAAACCTATAATGACCACCATCCTGAGTGCCTGCACATGTATGTGTGTGTGTGTGTGTGTGTGTGTGTGTGTGTGTGATTTCAGCATATATACCTTATTTCTTTGAGTGGCAGTTGTTGGACACACTCTTCATTAGTCCAGTCCCTTTCCTCCTCAAACACACAAACACATTTCTAAACATTTTCAATCTCTCAGATATATAAAAAAATAAAGAATTTTCTGTTATTTTCACTCTTACATACTAGCAATGACTAATAGTTAAAAACATCCTGACTTTAATTCATCAACCCAATCGCACAAAGATGCAACCATCATTTGAAACATACATTTATAATGCAGTATAAACTCACTGCTGTTTTGCTGGTGGATGCATGAGGGTACATGTTTGGCAGCAGTTGGATCAGGTTGTCCAGCAGGTGCTCAATCAAAGCGTTACACTGCCCCTGTTCTTCAACCATGGTAGGGCCGAAAGGAACGCTGCACATGCAGATAACAAATACATGTCACCTTACTAAATTCACCACACACCCCATCTTTATTTTATAACTGACAGCTCCATCAGACAGGTCTCTGTGTTTTATATTATATCCTGAAAACTTGTGCATGTAATTCTAGACACCTCAGTCCTTAAGTTATTTTGTAATGTGTTCTGAAGAACAGACTATATCAGCTGAATACACACATACAAACACTTACTGAAAGATGTTAGGTCCAAAAACTATTGACAAGTTTTTAGATGTCATAAGATTTAGATGACTCTCAGCAACAACACGGGACAGGAAGAACATTAGGTAGCAGAGGACATTTAAATGTTCTTCTGGAAGACTGTTCAGCACAGTCCTCACAGCCTGATTCAGTTCTTCCTTTTTTGAATCTGTAAGATACAAGGATTCAGTAAGACTGAGTCGGATCTTATAAATCTGTTTTGTTGAGCAGCAAGTACTTAAAATGTTCCCTCATTGCCACCTCAACTTCTCTTACCCCTGAACAACTTCAGCAGTTGTGTCCTGTGTGGCTCTGGAATAAGTCCACCAGGCAATTCCCTGAGGAAAACTTTCAATAAGGAGGCCGAAGTAAGAATATCCCAACTGTCAAACTCTGGAAAGCCTCCTTCATCAAAACTTTTTCTCAGTTCCTTGCAGCGTTTCACTGAACTGCCGGCTCTGAACAGGCCACTCTTACTGAGACCTAAACACAAACATACATTTTACAAATACACACAACCACTACATACAATTGACAAACACTATCAAACACTCACCATGCTTCTCCACAAACTCCACTATGTGTGTGAGCACCAGAGGAAGACCCTGCCTCATCCGTCCGCTCTTCCTCAGGCTGATGAGGGGCACACCGAACACGGCTCTTGGTGTTTCCACCTGCACAAGCCGAAGGTTCAGTAGAAAAAAATAATAATAATCAGGAATCTGTAACTTACTTAGAATTGTACTGCACAGCACACCATGCATGAGAAGGGTTTTTATTAATAACAGGTGTACATTTCAATATCCAAGAGTGCATAGATCAGAAACATATGTATTATAGTGTTCTACGTGTACACTAATACAAATGTACAATTGGTTATTTGAAAATTAAAGCAAATTTGCCAATATATTTTTTAATGTTCTTAAACTTTATGAAGCTATTTACTGGGCAGTCATTGTTAGTAATCTGCTGTGTGCATATCGCATACTTACACACACTGATAAAACACCAATCGCTCCCATTTCCATGAAAGGATCGGGGTTTTTTTTCAGTGGCAGAGCCATCAACCAATCCGAGGGGAGTCCGAAGCCGTGGGTCAAAAACAGAAAAGGGTCAAAACCGGGAGTCCAAACCGAGTCAAAAATCGAGCGTCAAAAACAGAAGGGAGTCAAAAACCGATTGTCAAAATACGAAACGAATCCAAAGCCGATAGTCAAAGTCCGAAAACAAGTCAAAAACCGAAAAATAGCCGAAAAAATCACTGTAAAATCTCGCCACACGCACAAAAACACCAACCGCACAAATCGCCAAAACTCCCAACAGAGAATTCTACTAAAGAATGTTCATATACCTGCTGCACTCCTCCCGTCATAATTGCGCTCTACTGATGTAGAATATTCTTAATATCCAGTAGTCCAGCGGTTTCATTACATTACTAAATGTGCATATTCATATTTAAGACTCTGAAATAAAATAAATTAAATTAAAGCACATTTTATAATACTGCGATGCAAATAAATAAAAGTGTCAACAGAGTGAATACAGCTACATATTGAAGTTTTCTCATATTTCAACTAAAATATAAATTTGCCAATGAATGTTAAATAACTTCAGCAAAGAATTTATTATAGGTCAAATTCATCCACAAACATGAATTTAATAGCGTAAACAATATGTGCAAACCTTAACTTAAAACATATTTTACAAGACACAAAAGCAAAACGAGAAATAAAACTATAATGGTAACACTTTACACTAAGGTTCCATTTGTTCACACCGGTTAACTACAGCTCACAAACTAACAACAACAACCAAAAAAAACACTGTTTAATTTTAGCATTCACTCATTCATTATTAAAATCAAGCTGTCTGTGAACTAACAATGAACAGTTGTATTTTTATTAACTATGGTTAACGGAGATTAATAAATACTGTACCGAATGTATTGCTCATTGTTAGTAAATGCATTAGCTGATGTACACCAACTACAGTTAAATCAAAACATGTCTGTCAGGGCTTATACAGCTACTGTGGCAGACTACATAATGGTTACTCCAATACTGCATATTCCTTTTCACAACCACAGACTAGTCAGCTATGAGCCCTAAGCGTAGGCTTAAGTAAAATAAAACGCACAAAGAAGAAAAGGATTTGCGATGAAATTTAATTGGCAAAAGAAAAATTACAGAGTTTAAGTTGCTTTACAACTGCAAAACTACTTTACAGATGATTTTAGTATTGTTACAAGTGCTTTTACAGCATTACGCAAAAACCTTTCAGGGTTTAATTCGCAATAAAGACCTGCTGGCTGCACATCATTCCTCTTATTACACAAATTAAGTATTTAAGATATTTTAAATAAAAACTAAATAAAATTAAATTCAGAGTAATAATTAAAAATACAATATTTGTAAATACAAATATTACAGCTGGATGAGGAAATAAAATGACTGTGTGGATTGTCCGTCAATGGTTAGAAAGGGGGCAGTGTAGTTTTAAAGTGCTGGCAGTTTCAATGTTTTATTTAGCAAACATTTGTTTACTGGCTTTTGATAAAATCCAAATCCGTTTTCAAAGTTAAATGCATGATGTATCAGAACTGACCAGCATCCCATTGATCCAGCGCCTGGCAATGATTGAGTCCAGCCCACAAACAATAATATGAAACTCTACAGGGCAAAGAAGAAATATTCATAGGTCAGATCATAGAGTCTATAAATACTTCATAGATATGGTTTCGGATATAATGAAAAATCTGCACTCACGTCTATAAAATGAAGCATCAAAATCCTGAATTTTTTTAAAATGTCTGAAATCAAATTAAGAAAATGCTATATTTGTTTCATTCAGAGATGTTAAGCATGTGTGTTCAGCACGTCAGTAAGTGTAAAGTCATAGTCACAGCATTATTTTAAAGGATACGGTACAACATTACAACCAGGAACACGGTGGTTTATAAACTCAGCTGCCACATCTGCTTTAGGTCGGCCAACATCTTTGGACCTTAAAGACGTTAGGCATAAACAAAATGAAATAATGTAGGTGGCAACAAACGTGGATATCCGTTTTAAAATGCACAAATTCATACCTAAAGAGGAACTGTCTGTTGAGGTTGGAGACATCAATGATGTCCATATCCACAACATGAATATGACGAAAACCTGACAGAGCCTTAAAAAAAAACAAAAGTATTATCAACAGTTTTCACCAAGTTAAAAAATCAGGGACTGGATTGAAAAAATATATAGAGAGACCTTACCAGGTTTTTCAGTAGTTCACAGCCAAGACCCCCAGCTCCAATGACCAGGATTTTGCATGTTTCCAACAGAAACTGTAATGTCTTTTAAGATGAGGAAAAAATTTCCAAAAAATTGGAAATTGAAAAACAAAATTATATATATATATTACTAACTAAATAATATAAAAGTACTAAAGAGCAAGCAAAATTGTGCAATTTTTTTCTCACCTCCTCACTAGGTTCAAAGTCTGGGTGTGTGAAGGGGCCAGTTCTCTCCAGGAACTTCTGCACATGACTCCAGCGGCCATCCCAGTCACCAATACTGCAACCTTCAACTGCCATGCTAGCAAAAAACAAAATGAAAAAATACCAAAATATACTTAAGACACATGCAACAACCACCAGAATTTAAAACAATAATTACCTACACTAAACAACCCAAAATAAAGAAAAAAATATATATGGCTCTGATTTCTCAATTAAATGTTTGATAAAAGTACTCTATAAATCTTTTTTGCACTCCAGTCATGAATCTTCAAACATTTGACTCACATTGTTTTAATTGTGAAGCAGATGTTTCAAAATGCAGAGGTTTCTGAACATAGTTTATCTGTCAATGCGCTATTAAGTGCTGTCGATACAGTATTCTTACTTGTAGCCCATGCAGCACAGTAAATAAAAAACTGGAACTTACTAGAATAACACTTGACATGGTTTAAGAGTTTTATATCGAAAAGAATGCGACAATAAGAAAAAAGCTAAAGCTCAGACGTAATTAAAGTGATAATGACAGTTCTGTCTGAGCACAGACCATTACTGCACGACAGAGTAATGCTAAATTTCATTAGGTTGCAAGTTATTAACAAGTCTAGCAGCATAACACTTCTATGCTATTATGTGTGCAGCTAATATCTTGCCCTTCACAAATTAAAATCCGATTAATCATTAGATTCTTGTTACTTTCTCCGCTTTGTTTACAAGTCAAATGCAGGATGAATTTTCAGTCCCTATGCTGAGCAATCCTCAAACCTGCAGCCAGCTCTTAGCATTTCATCACTAACTTCTCAGTCAGCGCCGCTATTCTCCTTCTTTTCTTTTCCCTAAAAAGAAGAAACGAGAGAAGGTTCAAACAAGCTTGCACACGACCACATATCCGTGTAATAATCTAGTAATGAGTTCATCTGCGCTCATTGTTCGTTCTGCGGCACTTACGGCTCTTCTCCATCCGCCATACTTTCAGCGTCCCATTCTTACCCATCCTGCTTTGCGGCGGCGAATCTGTCACCGTTCAAGTCGAAATGCTCGCCACTTGGAGGCCTGTAACCCACTTCAAACTCCATTTAATTTGACAGAAAGATGTTTTTTCTTTGCAGATTTGAGCATGTGCTGGAGGGATGAAGCACAGCGCCACTGGTTTATACAGTTCGACATTAAATGTCATGGTTATCTGAAAAAGGTACAAGAATATAAATAGTGTATGCAGCACAAAACTAAATGCTACCAGTGCTTGTGTACAGCATCAAGCTATACTTTAATTTTACACACTGACCATGAAAATCACAATGACTGGACCTTTTACTATGCCTTTAATAGTTTATTTTCTTTTATTCATATAATTTCCCCCCCCCTTGTCACAGGCCCAGATTTTTCAATTTTAAAAATCAAAAAAATAATAAAATGGTTTATCCATAAAACTATGATAATCTTAACATGTGAAAATATTAGCCATTTATATTAGCCAATATAAATTGTAAAAATATTTAATATGACTATGACAAATCATACAACAAATTTTGCAATAGGCTATATAGGATATATGTAACAATGTTTTGCAAAATCACTGCTAAATAAAAAAAAAAAAATTCTGTCAGATGTGCTGTTGTTGTTACCAATGTGGCATGACTTCTCAGAATTTCTATTAACAGTATTTTTGATATTCTTAAGATTAATAAAGCAATTTTTGTTTCAAGCAAAGACCAAAAGAAAAATAAGAAGAGATGAATATATATTCTTAACATGTGAAAATATTAGCCATTTATATTAGCCAATATAAATTGTAAAAATATTTAATATGACTATGACAAATCATACAACAAATTTTGCAATAGACTATATAGGATATATGTAACAATGTTTTGCAAAATCACTGCTAAATAAATAGTTTTTTTTCTGTCAGATGTGCTGTTGTTGTTACCAATGTGGCATGATTTCTCAGAATTTCTATTAACAGTATTTTTGATATTCTTAAGATTAATAAAGCAATTTTTGTTTCAAGCAAAGACCAAAAGAAAAATAAGAAGAGATGAATATATAATGCACTTTTATGGAAACAAACATAAGTAGTTATATCAAGATGAGTATTGAACTGTTGATGTATTACATCTTATAATTATTGTATTACATGTGTTAGATGGAAGATTATGTTTGATTTTAATTTTAAGTCAGAGATTAATGTTTACAAGAGCTTCAAACCCAGAAAAATTCATTCAAAATATCAATTTATTACACAATAACACAGTCTACATTACACATGCTTCTGTTTATCTGAGATCATATCATAATGCCGATTTGTTAAATTATCCTTCATTTTTATTTATTCTCCTTCTAAATTAATTGATTTTATTTCACACAGAATGTCAAAGCTAGTTTATTCACAGAAAACAACCCCATTGAAATTGTTACAAATTATAACCAGCAAAGTAACTGAAACTTTATAAGTTCAACACCCTTAAGAACTTTATTATATTTTAATGACATAATCACAAGACACATCTTATAAGAATCTTTTTTTTTATCAAAATATTTTTGTTTTATTTTAATTTTCTGCTAAATGTCCAAATATTTTAATGCATTCATAATTTGAACCAATGAAGGTTTAGCACTGGTATTTGAAAATCTAGTTACTAGATTTTCAAATACCAGTGCTAAACCTTCATTGGTTCAAACTATGAATCTACCAGTGAGGAGAAGGATTTTCACACTGTCTCAAAGTGCTTTTCTTTATCTGTGAGTAAATGCTTTTTGTACCCTGACCCTCTGACAAGCACTTCTCATCCCTAACCTATTTCCAGCACTGAGCAACGAGGCTGATGTTTGAGTCCCAGACTAGAATAAACATGTATTACTGTGCTAATAATCAAGAAAACCTTAAAGAAATTAGATTATGCCATGTTAACACTGTTTGTGTGTTTTAATAGCATAGCTAATGAATATGAAGTCATGTGTCTTTGAAATAAAACAACTCCTACACACACCTGTAACCTCCTACAATTGCATCACACACCATTTCTCAGTTTGCCTAACCCCCTTTAAATCAGAATTAATGTGCCCAAGTGTCTTTTACTCTGGTGATATTGGAAACACCCTTAAAGCTTCAGTACGCTTATTACACTGATAGAACGAGTCTAGTTTCACTATCTCACGGTAATAACATTATCTGACTAAACTGGATCTGGAAATAGTTCAAATAAAATAATCTACTCAACTGATTAACCATCTTTCTGGTTGTGAATGAGTGGGTAGTAAAGGACTGTTGCTGAGTGCGGTCGTCCAATCCTGTTTTGCGGGCATCTTGCGTTCTTCAGACTCCCATCCCACTTTTACTCATAAAAGATTCCTGGCTGGCAGGCCAGGCAGTAGCTAATTAGTTAGCTACTATACGAGAGCAGGCTTAACCAGGTCAATCCGGCCTGTGGATACTTCAACATTTCTCCATTTTCTACCCACACAGACCAACGCGGTGTGCAAACACATGCTCTAGATCGCACACATTTGCTCGTCTTTAGTGCAGTTTGCATTGCAGTCGGATAGTTTCGCACAGCTCCGTGCTACAGAGAGCGCTTTCCAGCAGCAGCAGACACCTGGATTTCAGCTGCAAAAGCCAGCACCTTGGATTTCAAATACACGTGCAGTTTGGGATAGCATACGTCTCTCAACCTGTGTGCAGAATGGCGAGACCTTCAAGGTAAGCGCGCTTTGTTGGTCTCTTGCTTTACAGCAATCGCAGGTTCGCACATGATGCGATCTGTATGTGGGTCTCTCCATGTTTGCTAAATGCTAAGTGGCTAGCCAGCATTTTTCTACGCGTGTTTACATTGCGACCCAAAACAGCGAAAATCACACGTAAACACGTAGATTTCCATCTCTTTACACGCATATAGATTTATTTTCATGAAAACCGTGGCTACCTCGGTTTCTGCATCCCCAGACGTGCGTGTGCTAACCGCAAGCATCCAGCATCAAATAAAAAAAGCGGGATAGTAGTTCACGCTGGTGGCTAATTAATACTATACAAAAACAACCAGCTAGCCGTCGTCGCCAAAATTAAAAAACACTCGCTTTACGACCATCTCGTAATTTAGCGGAAATGTGGTAACGTTAAACTAAAAACGTATTGCGGTGTAAGTTTGAGGTGTTTTCCACAGTTAGCCCCGTGAGCATTAGCGTTAGTTTAGCGGCGCGTGTTTGAGCAGCGCGTTGCGCGCCATTACTTCACACACACGACTCCAGCCGTTTCTCCTGCAAACTTGTTTTTAATTAATGCACTTTGGGTTCGGATCTGGTTTAGGTCAGAAATCAAGGCCCCTAGGTGGGTAATCAATAAACGTGTTTACGTTTCGCGATAAATATATATTTAAACGCGCCCAAGCTTGTTGTTTTCGTAACATTAGCGTTTGATAAGTGCCAACGAGCTCAAGTGACATTAACATGTTGTTTCTCATCTGTCAGACCGTGTCTTTCATTTAATATGCGAGTTTGGGAGGGAATGCTGTTCTCGTCGGTATAAATGATGGATTGAGGTGGTCCTGTGGGCAGTGAATATAATCTGACCTGCAGGGCCTGTAGTTCAATGCCCCTATCCGAGCACAGAGTCCCTCCCTCCTCACACTGCTGCTGTTGGCATGGCAATTAACCGACTCCAACATGGCACCCCTGTCTCCTCTGCCCCTTCAGTCAAGCTGCACAGCTTTAAATTGAGCAGTTTTTTTAATCTAAATTAGATTGTATAATTTCGAAATTTGAGGCAAAAACAGAATGGTTTGACTTCAGTTTTGTGAAACTATACATATAAATATCTGCATGAAACAGAAACAGCGGACGAGCTGAATGAGACTCAGATTCACTCTCTGCCAGCAGGTAGCGCTTAAACCCTTTCCTTGGTTTCCGCTGTAAACAAAGCAGCGCTGCACTTATGAACTTTAATATGCATTATACAGAGGCAAGATGAAAAGAAAAAATACCATCTAAACTTTTCTAAAGACAGTAAGTTCCCCTCAGACATGCATTCATATAAACTCCTACCCCTAATTGAATCGTGATTTGTTTAGCATCTCAACCGATTTGAATCGTCACATATTTGAATCGATTTTCAACCGGCTTGCGGTTAATCGTTACATTGCTAATAATAATAAAAATACTCAACCTCAACCAGAGCTAAATGTTTTATTGTTCCTCTCACATTAAAAAATGTACAATGTAGAATAGGCCTCTACATCATTCATTATTATTTTATGATTATTGACATTGGAATGTGAGCACTGAAGCGTGTAAATGCATTAATATTGTGACATTAAAATATTCATATAGATTGAAGACCCCTGTAGTGAACTAATTTTTTAGTTCATAGATAATAAATGATTTATAAACGTGCTACTGAATGTGTGTTTGTTATCTTGTGGGTCATTGATCCAAACAAAGATGCTGCATACATGCAACATGAGCAGTTTTTTTTATCTAAATTAGATTGTATAATTTCGAAATTTGAGGCAAAAACAGAATGGTTTGACTTCAGTTTTGTGAAACTATACATAAAAAATATCTGCATGAAACAGAAACAGCAGACAAGCTGAATGAGACTCAGATTCACTCTCTGCCAGCAGGTGGCGCTTAAACCCTTTCCTTGGTTTCCGCTGTAAACAAAGCAGCGCTGCACTTATGAACTTTAATATGCATTATACAGAGGCAAGATGAAAAGAAAAAATACCATCTAAACTTTTCTAAAGAGAGTAAGTTCCCCTCAGACATGCATTCATATAAACTCCTACCCCTAATTGAATCGTGATTTGTTTAGCATCTCAACCGATTTGAATCATCACATATTTTAATCGATTTTCAACCGGCTTGCGGTTAATCGTTACATCGCTAATAATAATAAAAAATACTCAACTTCAACCAGAGCTAAATGTTTTATTGTTCCTCTCACATTAAAAAATGTACAATGTAGAATAGGCCTCTACATCATTCATTATTATTTTATGATTATTGACATTGGAATGTGAGCACTGAAGCGTGTAAATGCATTAATATTGTGACATTAAAATATTCATATAGATTGAAGACCCCTGTAGTGAACTAATTTTTTAGTTCATAGATAATAAATGATTTATAAACGTGCTACTGAATGTGTGTTTGTTATCTTGTGGGTCATTTACTTTACTTTTCATGTTCTTTGTGCACAGGAATAAAAGGGTTGTTGACTATGCACAATTCCAGGAGTCTGACGATGCAGGTAAGCTCCTCTAATGCAAATATTTATCCTGTTGCATACATCACCATTGTGTTTCCACTTTACAGAGTTCCCACAGTCAGGAAACATCAGGGAGATTTAAAAAATGTTTTCCTCCAGGTTTGGAAAAATCATGAAAATGCTCAAAATAAAAAATGATGGGAAAAAGTGCTCTAATTAATGTTAAATAATGACACCGTGCTGCATTAATAGTTTAGTAGATGCAGTGTTGAATGTGCTTTGAAGTCGTGCTGTTTTCTAACCTGATTCAACTGAATGACTTTATACAGATGAGGAATATGGAAAAGAATCGGATCGGCCTGAGAAAACCTCTGTAAAACGCAGGTCAGTCTGTTTGAATAATTATTATATTGTTAAATATTAATGTGTAGCATCTGAGATAGTAATAAATGATTGCTATCTTATGAAAGCAAAAAAATTGTAAATGGTGGTTGTAAAAGTGTGATGTTTCAGTTTAAGCACCGCTGTCTCATTTGCATGTATTTATTTTAGCGCTCCTCCATTTGAAATGTTATTTATCAGCTGCATACATATCCATCACACTGTTTTATTTAAATTCATGTATTTTCTCTGAATTATTTTAAATACCCTTAAAAATAAATGCTGTATTTCTTCTCATGTAGTGATGATTCTCGAATCAAGGACCACAAGAGTAAGTCAATTCTTATGTTACTTTTTTGCCATCATTTTATATTAGGATTTAACATTTAATTATAATTTTTTTTTAAATACTTTATTTAGTTATTGAATATTCTGTCAAAATGCTTTTTCATTCCCTTATTCTAGAGGAATTCAGTGATGACGACAATGACTATGGGGAGAATGAGGAAGAAGAGGATGATGGTGGTGACAGTGATTTTGATGCTAAAGAGGCCAGCAGGGGGAGACGGACAACAGCTAAACGGAAAAGGGCTGCAGGTATTACCAACATAAACACTGAATGAATGCTTCATTCATGACATAAAGTCATGTAGTCATTTTTGATAACATTAATGGTGTAAGCTACTTTCTGTGCACGATTGACATTCAGCCTTGTAAATGTTCTTATATTTTAGATTCTTCATTAAATTCTAAATATGTTATATAAAATATGATAAATCAAAATAATGGCTTGTATTCGTCAAGTGGTCATCTGTGTTATTTTAGTGTCATTGAGACTTTTATACTTTAAAAAAATGTTTTTTGAGTTTATGTTTGTGTTTCTGTTTTCATTTAAATTTTATTTAAAGTTGTAATAATGTTGCTGTGCTTTTATTTTTATTAGTTTTTTAAAAATATATCTCTATAGTTTGTAGTTTTTATTTCAGCTTTAGTTTTAGTCATTTTAGCACATCAAGTTAAACTAAATGAAAATAAGAAAAGTTTGTTTGGCAACAAGCTGATATAAGGGTTTTTTCATATTGTATTTCAATTAAGAGCTTTTCATTTCAAGTAACAAAATGTAGTGTATAATGTTAAATAAAAACATCCCACGTCACAAACTTTGCTGTCAGTAGGCAGTGATTAATATCTCTATTAAATTCTATCCAATATCTATTGTAAATAATAGTTTAAATGACATGCTTTTCTTCATTCGCTCTTTATGCTGTTAAAATGCTATTTTGTTCTTTTATTCCTCTTTACAATGTCAGCCTGCTCTCGTCTGTAATGTTGCCACTCTAATTAACTTGCTTTTATTCACTTAAGCAAAACCACAGTAACATTTTTATGCCTGTGTTTGTGATTTGTTTATGCATTTTGCATATTCATGCGGAGTTAACAAACCTTCAGCTTGTGTTAATTAACCATGCATCTGCTCTTTTGACGCACAGATGACAGTGATGATGATGATGGTAAGGTTGTGAGGAAGAAGGGCCGGCAGGTGCGTCAGGCTGCCACTAAAGCTGCATCCAAACAGAGGGAGATTCTTCTTGGGGATGGAGGAAGTGAGGATGAGGAGGGAGAGGAGGAGGAAGATGACAGTGACGTTTACACTGGGGGTATGTAGAGTATTATACTTGAGTCAAAATATTTGAAATA